GGGAAAGTAGCAGCGTGTCGGTGACATTGGCAAGGGGAGTGATTCAGATTTTTCTGAAAAATCCGTTTTAAAAAAAAATGTGAAACCAGATCATGACATTTTTTTGATGACGGATTCTTCCCAAAAATGGAAGTGACATCCGGAATACAACGTCACTTACTCTGTTTTTCCTGCCAAGAATTGTCGCGAAGTCGCTTTTTTGCGAAAACCGAACACGCTGAAAAATATATATAACGTCATGTACGAGATGCCAAATTCCCAAATAAGCAAAAAAAATTCAGAATTATTTTTTTTTAAAAAAATATCTTAAAACATAAATATCTATTCACTTTAGAATCCGAGAAACGCATCTCTCGTGCTTTGCACTCCAGCGGTTAGTGCCTTACGCAAATAATTATCCATGCTCCAAGCGAGCCTGGCAGCGGGCGTTCCGGGAAAGCATCGAGTGAGACGTCAAGCCCCGCGGACGCGAGAGATGGAGAGCGAGAGACGTTCTTCTTCTCTCGGTCGACGCGTCCCTCCTCCTCCTCCTCGTCGTCGGACGGCTGCCCGGCCGCCGGATCTTTTCATCCCGCGTTTCTCTCTCTCTCTCTCTCGCTTTTGATTGAGCGCCGGGATGAGCCGCTCACCAAAACGCCACGCTGCCACGCTGCCCATTTAATTCGCATCAGCACGGACCTTGCTCCGGGACACCTGCAATATTAACTGGGGTAATTGATTTTTAACGACTCGTGTCGCTTCTCCGGATTAATCCCCCTCCCGCCGATGATGAATAGCCACCTCGGGGCGGCAACGGGGTAGGGAGCGGGGGCGCGGGCGTGGGATTCGGCCCCCCCAGGAGGGCCTCGGTCGTGCCAATGACTCGCGCCGCGTCCCCACGACCATCGGGCAGCGTGCCGTCAACCCCCGGGGGGAAGCGGCGGAATTGGGGGTGGGGGAGTGAGGGAGTGGGGGGGTAGAACGCCGCGACCCGAAGGGTGACCGGACGGGGGGGGGGCCTGCATTGCCCGACTCCGGGAGCTCCGTCGGTGATGCTGTTCGGAGGGTGAATTGGGGTCCCGCCCGGGCGCGTGGCGTTCTCGCAAAAGCGGCGACTCGCTTGGAGGAGCCGCACGGAGCCAGCGTCGCCAACCCCCCTCCCTCCCTTCCTCCCCCCCGTACTGTGACGCACTCTCGCTGCCTTGCAACACGTCCAGCCCGTAGCCTTTGCAGCGGAAGGTCGGCCCGAATGCCCCCCAAGTGATTGGTTTGTCGGCGCCGTCGTTCAGAGTCAAGTAAACCGAAGGCGTCCATCTAATCTGCCTTTTTGAACTATTCCCTCTCCCCGCCCCCCCCCCCCGGGAACGAGAATTGGAATGAGTGACACGGCGCCTGCCGTTCATTCACAAATAAAATACAGGTAGTCCCCGACTTACGATGGAGATGCGTTACAACCCCCGTCGTAAGTCGAAAATTGCGTAAAGTCGGACCGCCGTAAGTCGGGGACTACCTGTATATATCCTTGAAACAGAGGGTCGTTGACGGATACTGCGCCTCCTCCGATTTTCGCCGCACCTCCCGAATAGCACGGTGCGAAAGAAGTTCAGACGTGCACCTCTCCTGTCACCTCGCTGCGTCTTTAACTCTTTTGAGTATCTCTGCCGTCATCTTGCTCCCGAGTTTATGAATCAACAGCGGTGGGGGAGGAGTAGCGGGGAGGGGTTCGGGACTGTTGCCCAAATTTGCGTCTGAGCTATGTTTGGGCTTCCCCTAGGTAGACTCGGCCTTAATTTTGAGTCACATGCGTTGCTTTAAATAACACGAACGGTGACTCTCGAGACGGAAAGGGCAGCCGGGCAGGTGCCGTGTCGGCCCACGACACCAGAATAGTCGCTCGCTGACATCACCGCGGCTGCCGTGAAACCGCGGTGAGTGTGCGGGCGTGCGTGTGTGTGTGAGTGTGTGTGTGTCACTGTGTGTGTGAATATGTGTGTGTGAGTGTGTGTGTGTCACTGCGTGTGTGTGAATGTGTGTGTGAGTGTGTGTGTGAGTGAGAGTGTGTGTGAGTGTGTGTGTCACTGTGTGCGGGCGTGCGTGTGTGTGTGAGTGTGTGTGTGTCACTGCGTGTGAGTGAATGTGTGTGTGAGTGTGTGTGTGAGTGAGAGTGTGTGTGAGTGTGTGTGTCACTATGTGCGGGCGTGCGTGTGTGTGTGTGAGTGTGTGAGTGTCACTGTGTGTGTGTGTGAATATGTGTGTGTGTGAATGTGTGTGAGTGTGTGTGTGTGTGTCACTGTGTGTCACTGTGTGTGTGTGTCACTGTGTGTGTGAGTGTGTGTGTGAGAGTGTGTGAGTGTGTGTGTCACTGTGTGTGTGAGTGTGTGTGTGAGAGCGTGTGTGAGTGTGTGTGTGAATGTGTGTGAGTGTGTGTCACTGTGTGTGTGAGTGAGCGCGTGTGTGAGTGGTGTGTGAGTGTGTGTGAGCGCGTGTGTGAATGTGTGTAAGTGTGTGTGTGTCACTGTGTGTGTGAGTGAGTGTGCGGGCGTGCGTGTGTGTCAGTGTGTGTGTAAGTGTGTGTGTGTGTCACTGTGTGTGAGTGAGAGTGTGTGTGAGAATGTGTGTGAGCGCGTGTGTGAGTGTGTGTGTGTCACTGTGTGTGTGAGTAAGTGTGTGAGCATGTGTGTGAGTGGGTGTGTGAATGTGTGTGAGCGCGTGTGTGTGAGTAAGTGTGTGAATGTGTGTAAGCGTGTGTGTGTGTCACTGTGTGTGTTTGAGTGTGTGAATGTGTGTGAGCACGTGTGTGTGTTTGAGTGTGTGAATGTGTGTGAGCGCGCGTGTGTTACTGTGTGTGTGTGCACATAGCCTGGCACAAGCGTCGTGGTGACGTCACCGCCACTTAGTGGCGAATGGCGGTTGTTGTTGTTGTTGTGCGGGGAGCGGTGGTGTAGCGGTTAGCGCTACGCTGCGCTATGAACCTGGCGACCCGGGTTCGATTCCCGCTCACGGCCAACACCCAGTGACGATTATTTGAACCGGTTCCCGGGGCCACCCCTAGGTCGACTCAGCCTGAAATGAGTACCTGGTGCGGTGTGTCAAACATCGCCACTCGGGAGACAAACGCAGCCACGCGTGGTGTTGGCCACCCGTCCCCTCGTGCGCCTTGCCGACTTTGGTCGGTGCTACTCGCTAAAAGCACTTGCCCTAACAGTCTGTAAAGAGGCTATACGGGGGATATTTGTCTTTGTGTGTGCGTGTGTGTGCGCGCGAGAGAGAGAACGTGCGTGTGTTGACTTAACGAAAAGCCTCTACGGTTATAAGTCTGGTTTCCACTTCAGTCACGGAGACACTTCCATTTGCCTTCTGCTGCCGTGCCTTATGAAAACTACACAAGCAAAAATGTACCGTGTTTAGCGCCTTGTTATTTAAGCTGAGACGGAAGCTTAAATAGCTGCCACCGGGTTTGCTGGTGGTCAGTGGCTCCATTGTAACGGGCGGTGGTGACGGTGGCCTGTTCTGGGCCATTGGGGGTTCGAAGCCGAAATTATGTTTATACGTTACCCACCACCCGCCGCCCTGTTCCAATTGATAAGGTACTTTGTGAGATGATATAAGAGATGTATAACAACAGCTAGAGACGTCGTGTAATAATGAGAGATGTATGCAACAGATCGAGACGTCGCGAGATTGTATAAGAGATGTATACAACACGAGAGAGATGCACGCAGCGAACAGAGACGTCGTTGGGATGAGAGAGATGCAGACACGACGAAAGAGGTGTCGTGAGATGAGAGAAGAGAGATACAGGCGAGACTGGGATTAATTGCCCGCATTATTTTCATTGCCATGTTATGCTCACTGGGATCTCCGAATCATCGGGGGTCTTCATTTAGACTGCAGGAGGAATCCGATGAGCTATGAAGCTCCTTTTCACAGATGCCCAGTGTGGCTGGGTCGCAAAGTCAATGATAATGAGCTCGAGCTAACGCTTCATTCAACTCCTACCTTTGCAATCGATCAATCCGGGCCCCCCCCCCCCAAACCCCCCGTCCTCCTTGAGCTACTTGGGTCGCCTTGAGCTTTCGCTGCTCTCGGGTTCTGCGCCCGCCACTCTCTGTCGCCGCTCTCGAAATCGCGCGGTTTGTTTGTTGTTATTGTTGATGACGAAGCCGTTGCGGTCGCGGTGGTTGTGTTTTCCCCCCGCGCCGATACAATCTCAAAATCCCCCCGCCGCCGCCGCCGCCGTGTGTGTGTGTGTTTATTTGCGAGCGTAATTACCGACGAGTCTCCGGACGCGCGCCGCCGTTCCGCCTCGTGCGCGTTCTCGCTCCCCGCGCGCGGCCCCGATCGCCTTTGCGATGCCGAAGCTCCGTTTCGTCCCGTCCCGTTCGTCTCCTTCACTCGTCCCCCCGTTCGTCCCGTTTTGTGCGTCTCGTTTAATTATTTTCGTTCATCATTCGGCCCACCTCCCTCCCTCCCCCATTCATTCCTTTACGGTCGGTCCCGTTCATTCGTCCCGTCATTCCTCCGTCCTCCCCGGGGGCGACACGCACGCGCGACTTGACGGCAGGCTGTGCGAATGGCCACGACTCAGAGGCGCCTGGCAGTGAGCAGCGCGCAACACGGTTTGGGCCCCACGTGTTGCGGCGCTTAGCGTGGAGGGAAACGCGCGAGCCGATTGTAGAAAAGCAGGCAGTGCGGCAAGTTGGTTTCTTGCCCGTCTGCACCACCGCTTGAAGGCGCGGTGACCCGCTGATGACTTGATTTTGCAAGGGATTCTTTCGTCACGGGTCGCTGGCAATAGACCTTTGGAGGAGGTATATACACGTACGTACGCACGTACGCTGAACTTATTTTTTTTGCGCCGTACCTAGCCGAGGGGTGCTTGCTAATCGGAGACAGGACCACAGCGGGTGGTGTACCGGACGATGACGGCGATGCTGCTGCTGATGATGATCTCGACGGCAACGGCGACTGTAACGCCAATGGTGACCGGACTGTCTACCCCTCCCTCGTCTCCACCACAGGGTTCAACTGACCATGTCCTGAGACCTCAACGGCCTCAACGTCTCCAGCAACGCCTTGCCGGGGTGGGGTCAGAGGTCGCATGCTTCGGGTGACGCGGACGCACTCCGCGCTATGCCCGACTCCTCCGTCTCCTGCTGACGACGTCCCGCGTGGGTTCACGATGGCCGGCTGGAGACTGCTTCAGGCCCTGCTGCTGCAGCTGCTGCTCAGCGCGAGCGGTTGGCCTCCCGCAACCGGTACGAGGCTCCGTCTTGTTTTGAAACTGTTCACTGTTCACTATTTAAAAAAAAAATGTTTAACCAGTTAAGGCGCCCACTGAGATTTTTATGTATATATATTATAGCTCTTCGTCAGAAGCGACCGGGCGATCGCAGATTATAGCTCGACTGAGTGGCTTATCGTCACGTGGTAATTTATAGGAGTAGCCAAATACTGTCATCATCATCATCGGGAGACATAAACCGGAGGACCTGGAGAAAAATTCACGCGACCACGGGGAGAGAGAAATGCAAACTTCATATATACGGCAGGCATCAGGGTCAGGATCGAACCCACGACCTCCTGCATACCTTGGCACCCCACCACCACAACCATCATCATCATCATCTGTCATGATCAATCCACTGCTAGATGATAGGCCCTCCCCACAACCTGTAGCCACGTCTCTTGGTTTGTGCGATGTATCGATCCGCCTGGCGTCGCCCGCACACGCACGAGCTGATTTCGTCGCTCCGTCTCGTTTGGTGCCACGTCCTGTCTGCCGTGTTCCTTTTTCTCGCCTGACCCTCCGTCCCAAAGTACGCGTGCAACGGTTTGAGCTCAACGTTGGGCCCAACGCCCGTCCAACGTTGCACGCCGGCCGGTTCTTTTATTATATTCTTGGTTCTTTCGGTAAAGTCACGTAGAAGGGAAACAATAAAATAATAAATAATAAAAAACGATAAAATTCTCACCGTCGTGAGAATTTCGTTTGGTGCCACGGTGAGAATTTTATTGTTTTATATTTTTATTATTTTATTGTTTCCCTTCTACGTGGTGACTTTACCGAAAGAACCAAGAATATGAATCCCTGCAATCACGAAAGCTTTAAATCAAAATTTGGTTCGTTGTTCTTGACCGACAACCATCATCCCTACTCGCCGTGACGTGTCCTACTTCATTTCTTTAAACAGTTTACATTTTCGTTAACGTGTGCTTGCTTATTTATATGCACTATATGCAGAGAATCTGTGCGTGTTTGTGGGAGTGGCGGTGCTGCGGTTAGCACATTGTGCAATGAATCACACCTAAACATACAAAGACCGCCCCCCCCCCCCCCCCCACCACATAGCCTGAACAGACTGCAGGGGGCCAAGTGCTCTGCGCGAGCACCTACCTCGTGTGGCACGGCGACACGAGGGTGGGGGCGGTGGGGGAAGAGGGGGGTGGGGGCGGTGGGGGGAAGAGGGGGGTGGGGCACGGTGTCAGCATGAGCCTTTTTCGAGCAGAGCCACGCCGAGGGGGCGTTCGTCTTCCCGCCGCCGGTGTTTTTGGCACCACCGCAGCCGGGCGTTTCAAAGAAAATATTTTTTTTTAAGGCCGGGTCGACCTAGGAGGAGGCCCAGGGGACGCGTTTGTGAACAGATACCCACGAGCAGCACTCGGGCGAGCGAGTCCAGCCCAGCCGACCTCCTCTGCTCTGCACGGAGAGCACGGAATCGCCACCGTCCATTACTCAACGGGGCGGAGGGGCGGGGGGTGGTGGAACTCACGCTTTTAGATCAGTGGGCGGATTAAAAACTTTGTGCCCGCGTTGGTGTGGAACGATTTGTGGCTGGATGGCCTCGCAAGGCACGCGAACGAGCGGGTGAGCGAACGAGCGCGCGTCGGTGACGTCGCTTGCGCGGTGTGGAGTGGTCTGTCATCGGGCGGAGGCTGCGTGCAAACTTGAAACAACTCTGCGAAGCTTCTTTGAGCGGCCACAAAGGGATATTTATATATATTTGTATTCACGTGCAGCCGTGTGTGTGTGTGTGAGCGGAGGGGTGGGTGGCGCCATGGTTAGCGCACCGCCCTGCAAGTCCGGCGACCTGAGCTCGATTCCCTGCCACGGTGTTTGGCTGCAGCGTGACGATGAGGACGATGAAGCTGAGCAGAGTTGAGCCTGCTCGGCCACATCATTGCCTGTGTGTAAAGTCGCGCTCATTGTACACGAGGTGCTTGCCGCAAATGAACCACGATACCTTGCTGTTCCCATCATGGAGCATCACCATCACGCAAACTCTGTGGTCATCCTCGCAGCGGCTTTTGGCTAAACATCGACCATTGTGCGCTTTCAAATGCGCTTCTGCGGCCGTCTGGAACGCGCTCTTCCTTCCGATATTAGGAAGCCACTGGGAGTTGTGTGCTTTTAAGTTGCGTGGATTGGAAACTCATTTCTTTAGAGCTGCCTTTTTTTTGTGCTTAGTTTGTTGTCCTTCCTCCGCACCTCCAATTAGTGTGGTTGGCTACGTACGGTGCGAAAAAGGAGTTCAACATTGCATACACGCAGGTGTTGCAGCGAGGTGGCCAGGACAGAGTAGTGCCGCAGTTGATTCCTGATTCCATCTGCGCGCAGCGCGTTGCGTTTTACCCCCTTCGCGCGCCGTGTAAGTGTTCTCCGGGTTTGCCGCATTCCTCTCGCGCGAGGGGGAAATGCGTCGTGAACGGGTGTTCGTGGCCCCAAACATCGCAATGTCGGAGCCACCCTCCTGAAAAAAAAGAAGGGCCTTGAGGCTCACACCCTTTGGTTCTCGCGGGAAAGTCACGTAGACGTGAAATAAAGTGAATTAAATCACGACGTTTCGGGCGCCGCACAAGCGTCCGTCGTTTATTTTCTTTGACGCCTGCCACGTCACTTTGCCGGAAGGACCAAAGAGTATGGATCCCCGCGGTCTTGAGACTCACTTGAGGCTTGAGTCGAAAATTAAAAGGCGATGGCAAATGATGGCTCATCGCGGCGTGGACACGTGCAGCAGCCAGATGCTCCAAACGGCGCCACGTTGATTCTAAATGTGGAGGGGATAATTGCGAGGACCCAGAGAAAAATCCACGCGACCACGTGGAGAGAGAGAGAGAGACACCGCAATCTCCCAACTCCTGTAACACCTGGCGAGTTATAAGTTACCATCTCTCGCCACAACGGCGACCCATTATTGTTATTGCTGGGATGACCGCAGAGTATTATTTCACGATGAGATATGAAACGTCAGGGTACGTACGGCGAGAATCGCGATGTCACTTTTTGAATGTGCCATTAATGCTCGCGGCAGAGGCAGGCTTACTGGTTCAAATGCCAACAATGGGGTGTACCAAACACTGCCTCGTCTCCACTGTTAATTACTCCCAGTGTTGCTTGCAGTCTCTCCCCCCCCCAATCTCCGTTCTATCGCTACCAGATTCCCAATGGCTTGAAAATTGGTTTGCCCACAGCGATTATTCCATCAACAGTTCACGTATTTATCGTCTGCATCCCAATTTATTGGATTATCCACTGTATGGCAGATAATCGGATGAGGCCGTCATTAGTCGCCAACGCTGTGACGGCCAAGAGGTCTGCGTCAGATTATCTCTTTGTCAGATCGCTGGTAGCCTCCATTCGCCGCGTCATCGGATTAGCGCGCGCGGATTGATCGTAAGGAGGAACAGCATCTCGGGCGATAGTGAGATGATGTTGTTTATCGCGACGCGCGGAGGCTATGAGGTCACAGCGTTGAGCTCGCGACCAGGAACGGTACGCATTAAAATATCCCTGGTCGGTGGGTGCACGGAGCATTGTGGTCGTCATCGTCAATATCCGTCATCGCCAGCATCGTCATTGTCTTCTCCATCATACATCATCTGCCATGTAGACAAATATCATTATCGTCCATTATACGTCCATCGACATCACCTCCATCTCAATCATTCATCGTCATCGCCATCATTGGCGAGAGCAAAGAATTTACTCGGCTGCACCTTTACCTGGGCATGGTGGGTGCAGATTGGACATCCGTGTGACTGCAGGACATCCGTGAAAAAAAAGAGCTTTGTAGCTCATCGGGATTCCTCCAGGATCAGGCAACCGCAGTCGTCGATCCCTCTCCAGAGGAGGGGGGGGGGGGGGGGGGCCCTGTAGTGGAGAGGGCTCTTCCACCGACACCACCAGTGTTGCCCAAGAAGTGACGACACAAGCCCTATCTTTGCCTCCACCGCGGAATGGTTGGAGCCACATCATGGATTTGGGGAAAACGCGATTCCCCGTGCGCTTGCGGAACCGTGCGCATCATTCCCGGTGTTCTGAGGTCTTCACGATTCGCTTCATACAAATGGTGGGAGGGGGGGTGGGTTGCCTGCCACAAAGGCAGCTCCACAGCAGCTGTGATAAGGCAAGGCTGGCATTCACAAGTGCCAGATAACAGCAGATAACTTGAAAGCAGCAAGCTTATAATCTAGCTGTGGGTGTTTTCAGCTGTGCACGTACGTGTGTGTGTGTGTGCGTGTGCATATGTGTGGCTAGATGTGGGGAGCGGTAGTGTAGCGGTAAGCGCTACGCTGCGCTACGAACCCGGCGACCTGGGTTCAATTTCCCGCTAGCGGCCAACGGCAGTGGCGATTATCTGAACCGGTCCTGGGCCTTCCCTAGGTCGACTCAGGCCTAAAATGAGTACCCAGTGTGGTGTGTAAATATCTCCACTAGGGAGACAAAGGCGGTCGGGCGTGGTGTTGGCCACCCCTACCCCCTCGTGTGCCATCCCGGCCTTCATAGGTGCTCGCTAACAGCACTTGCCCCAACAGTGTGTAAATGCTATAGGGGGGATCTTTGTCTTTTATTTGTATGCGTGTGTTGGGGATGAGGGCACTTCGAACCCAACGACCCAAGTTCAATTAACGCTCAGGGCCAAGACCAGTGGCGATTATCTGAACCGGTCCTGGGCCTCCCCTAGGTCGATTCAGCCTCAAATGAGTACCTGGTGCAGTGCGTAAACATCGCCACCAGGGAGACAAAGGCTGCTGAACCTGGAGCGTGCTGCTGAGAGATGGGGGTCGTACTATCAGCCTCACCAAAACCGAGTGCCTTCCTGGGTATTTTCTGTCATCAAATACTCCCACCCCCTCAGTTCCCGACCAGCGATGGGGCAGTTGTGAAGAGAGTGGATACGTTTCCGTGCACGGCAAGTGTGTTTATGACCAGCTCTGTTTTGGCAGTTAGTGGCATTCTCTTCATCAGCTGTGTAAT